AGGTCATGGCGCTTAATGTTGATGGTATAGACTTGCCCGAACTAACTGGCTGCAATCCAGAAGAAGTTGAGGAACTACAGGCTCTGGAAAGGTATGCCACGCCCGATGGCCGCTATGGTGAAGGTGTCCTTAATGATGCTGACTATGAAAGGTGTGTGGCAATTTGTGTTAGAAGGTGCCAGAGCTCCGATGACGTTCTTCGTCGGTTCAAGCAATACCTAAATGGTGATATAACAAGGAATCACTTAGGTATGGATGCTACGAAGTTGCAACGACTGGGTAGGATTTGCTACCTGGATCAAGACGGTCTTATTCACCGAAAGCCAAGCGACCCCGATGAGACCGAGAGGGACCAGATTACTGGAGTATTATATCTTGGTGAGTCCGATTATTCGGATCGTATGGTTCGACTACTATCTGCGATTTACCACTACATATACGGTCACCTCGGTATTCCTCGAGTTTATGGTAAGATTAAGATGAAGTATTCGAGGAAGGGTCTGAAGCGGTTGGTGAGGTCAACTTTGAGATCATGCATACCCTGGTTTGAAGGCTAGAGCTGCACGCAGCCTGGATTATGTGACCACTCATGTACAAGGGTTACTGACTACAGGGCTGTGGCAGGTCGTGGGTGCGGATTTGGCTGGTCCTTACGGACGAAGGCAAGGCACGCAAGGAGACGATGATGAAGAACACTACTTGTTGTTGGTGCATGATCACGTCTCTGGCTTTACTTGTGCAAGGCCATTGAGGGATTCCAAGCCCAAGACTATCGCTAAGGTGTTCCACTCTGTGTTCTGTGAACATGGAGCGCCCAGAGTCCTTATCACTGATAGGGATAGGGTACATCTTATGCGTAAGGATATTAAGGTGGTTCTTGCGAAGCACGGTGTACGATATTATACTCTACCCGGTTATGCTCAATTCCTGAGCTTTTGGGAAAGAGCTCACAAGGACTTTGTCGAAGTGACGAGAGCGTTGAGAGTATCTATGGATCGTTCTACCGAAGCCTCGTATATTGAGGACTACCAGCTAGCTGTTAGAGCATATAACATCACCCCAAGAATGTGGGCGAATGTAAGCCCAACGGAACTCCATTTTACTTACGGTATACGGGTTCCTGGTGACCGTGGTGACACAGACGGTGATATTGATTGGGACGAGTTGAGGGTGAAGTATTTCGATACGGATCTCTTAAGCTTTGTCAAGGATAGCGTGCCACTGTTGGAAAGCGCTAAGGAGGAGTTTACGGTTACCTTGAGGGAGTACTTGGAGCTATGGCGCATGCGTCAAGAGAGAAATCTTGAGCGTATGGCTATGACTGAAGATCGTAGGTATGAACCTAAGTTATTCGACTTAGTGTTTACCTCCAAGTGCCCGGCTAATCGTATTGGTCACCATCTTGATGTTATATGGTCTGGTCCTTCGACTATCACTTCACTCAACGGTACTGCAATGGTTGGTATAACCCCCGGTATTATTCTAGAAGGTGTTGGAGGGGTAGTTGTGAGTGAAGATGGAAAGAGTCTAGAAGTGCCAGAAGGTTACGGTCCTTCGGAGGTATACCCACTTAAGAACATCAAGCATGCTCCGGCATTGCAAGGTGTCATTTATGGATATCTTCAAGAAGGAAAAAGAGTCTTTCTGGATTCACAGGGAGCTATTAAGGATATGACCCTAAGGCCTGGAACGGAGATTGACGACTTACGTTTACTTCAACGTGCCAGGAAGAAGATAGATTTGGAGAAGATAGTTCGGGAATCCGGACGGGTCCGAGGCGAATTTGGGTCAGAACCGTTACTCCCTCCTGGTATTTGTCCTTCTGATGAAGAGACACAACAGCTTGAGGATAGAGTGCTACCACCAGAGAGCTTCATTATGGGTGACTCGGAGGAAGGTGTACCTTCTGAGGATGAGGATCCAGATGAGGAAGATATGGTGGATCTTTCAAGGCTTCGAGAACAACTTGGTGTTGGTGATGGTTATGAATTTGGAAGGTTCATGAAGAAAGCACCCCTAAATGGTTCGGTTGTGGTTGTGGTGGACCATTCCTACAACGGGTTAGCCACTGTTCTCGAGGGTGATGAGGGAACTGAAGATGGATCTATGTTGGTCCAGCCTATGAGGGTTGAACTTCTCGGTGGATGCTTAGAACTTGCTAAGGCCACTGATAAGGACATCCTTACGGTACAGCTTGATAATATGGTCTACGTTAGCCCATGTTGCCATAAATGGACACGCAAAAGAAGTCGAGACCTATTGAAGCTACTACACGATGTCCAGGTTCCCCGTTGCTAAGCCTCTATATAGATTTTACTGTTAAGGTGCCGTACTATCTCCATGCTGTACTGCTATATAAACCGTAGCTGGTGGATCAGTTATTTTCTACTTATTAGAGTCTATTTGGGCCACAAGATGGTTCGTGCTAATGAGTCAATCTTGCTCACTTAGCAACTACTGCTTTTCTTTCGAGCCGTTTTTCATTTCCGGTTCACAAGACGGCACGTTGGATAAGGGTTTCGATATGTGTGCAAGTCTTATAGGATTTGTACGTGACTATTATTCTCTGCTATGGTCCGATTGTTATGGACTACGGTAGTCCGACTACCTATTGTTAAGTTGTCTCTGCTTTAGCGAAAGTTTAAGTGTTAAGGCGTATGACATTGTGGTGCAGAGAATGGTTGACGAATATCGTATTGATGATAAGGTTGGTGATTCCAAGTCTACTTCAAGTCGTCTAAGGCCAAGTCTAAGTCTGCTAGTCCGACGAAGAAGAAGGATAAGAAGAGGAAGTCGAAGCCTAAAGGGGATGAAGAGTCGAGCAGTGAAAGTGATGATGATAGTTCTGGCAGCTCTGACTAGTGGTTCTTACTACGGTGCCCTTATTTCCTACTTCTCTTTGGTCTTCGTTATTCTTCTCGGTCCTTGAATATATATGTGAAGTATTGAGCTTATTGATCTGGTTGTTATGAAATCGTTGATTTTACGCGGGCAATGCGCGCGTCCGTACGGCGCGAGGCATGACACTAAGGATTCTGTGATGCTGGTCATAGGCGAGCGCTACTTTATGTACATGCGTGCTGCTTTCACGCTGCTGTGTGTTTACGTACGGGCTTTTATAAGTTAAGTTAGGCTAAGTTGAGTCCGGTATAAGTTCTATACAGGGCTTTTACTAGTTACTGACTTATACTAGCTTACATAGGGATCCATATCTATATGAGGAGGATATGGATAATAGGGTCTTCATTGTGTTGCTATAGTTTTGCGGCCATTGATTGCACTCTATTGGGCACTGGATCATTCGCTATGGTTTTGCGAACCCTTATGGATTTAGGGTTTTTGAGTCATCTGAGGACTAAGGTTGTCGCTACGGATTGTCGATATATATTAACGGAGTCTAGCTTTGAGTTATCTGAGTTCGGAATGGTTGTTACACGTTCAGGAAAGACTACCGAAGTGCCACGTAATCGTGACACTGATGTTATAGTCAAGGTACGTCGTAGACGTGTTAAGGAAAAGACGAGTCATGCTTCTCATGCGCAGTGTGCAGAAAGGGAGTCAACCCATGGTACCTCGGTTACTCCCACTAGTTACCCGAGTCCTCATAGGGAGGACCACCGCTGCGCGTATCGGAAACGATCAAAGAAACTCGTCGTTGCTGTCATCTTGTCACTGTTGTATCTGACTAGACGAGCAGTTTACAGAAAGCACAGAAACTTCCATATCAGTCCCTTACCTCGCGACAGCGTTCCGTGATTAAGCATCATCGTGTTGCTGCTATCAAATCTATCATACTACCCCTAAGGTTAGCCAAAAGGCCAGCGTAATAATCAGTGCTACAGAACCTATAGAATGTGACACCACCCATCGGGTTAGTCACGAGGTCTTGAAGCCCGATCATAATGAATACTGCTTCTAAATCTACCATACTATTGATTTGCGCTGGTCCTATTGATCGATGACATCTGTTTGATATCGTCCAAGGCGGCCGAGTCAGAGTATTTTAGAATGTTTTCGATGGATTCGAGTGATTAAATACTCTTCGACTCGGAGGGTCCGAGTATAGAACGCCCGACCTTCCGATCTATCACGCGGACCTCTAACCACTCCACCATAGTACTTACAAAACAGTTGGTGTGTCATCATCGCAGCCGATCGAGGACCTTCCTTCGTCTGACATGCTTTAACGACCTGGAATTGGCGAAACCTGTACGGTGTAAGGATTGGCGAAACAGGGTTCAGCACCGTCTTACGCCAACAAGGAACTCGGCAAAACCCTGCGTATCCCAGACTTGACCAACTTTGGCAAAACCCGTATGTCGATGAAGGTCCATTTATGGGGCTAGTTCAAGGACGAATGTATTGAGATTTACTGTTAGATGGGAACGAGCTCAGAGACCTCCTCGTGGTGTTCCTGGAAACTCAACTATAATGTTTTATTGTTGAGGCTAACATCTGAGCATTCGATTGTTTCCTCTCTGTTTCCTTGTACAATTTGTTATTGCCTTGTCGGTTTGCTTCTCGTTTTGTTACGTCTCTGAATCCTTGTTATTTCAGTCCAACTGAATGGGTCCGACTATGGTAGTGGTATCGTACCGTACCACTGGTACGCCATACATATGTATGGTAAGCTATGCACATGTATGTTTCTTCTTTTTACTGTTCATTTGAAGTTGCCTTGTGTTGTGGTAGTGGTTGATTAGTCACCTGTTTGGTGCACTAATGGATGTGTCCCCGTGTTGGGGGAGTTTGCTCGGTGTTGAACGAGTATGCGGTCGGCAGTTGTCCGAATCCATGTGTGGTTGGATGGTCGAGCCCTGATTAGGGGTAATTTGTTGTGTGGTGGATAAAGGGTACCGTTTTCAAGTCGGTCGATTCGGGTAGTGCGACGTTAGATTTGTGCAAACTACTAGCTTCGCGTACTAAGTAGTCGTGATGATTTTCTAATCACATACATGTTTATCATGAGTGTTATTATTTCTTTCGCATTACTGCTCGTTTATTTTGTTTGATTCATTTTCATGGTGATTTCGAGTTCCAGCCGCCTCTGAGTGGCGTTATGCTTGAATTGCCCTCGTATTTTGTTTATCTCTTTAATTTAGTTCCTTTTCTCGATATTTTGTCTTCAAATATGGATGCACCGTTGTTGACATCGACATTTTCAACTGCTCCAGATTTGTCTGGGACCATAGTTGAGACATTAACTCAACCATCCTTTTCGGTCGACTCTTCGAGAACGTTGAAGGTAGCGGTTGATGATGCCGAATTGTTGGGGGAAATGGTAGATGCTTGTGCTGTCGCTACGGGTGCCGTATTGGATAATGATGCCGAACAGCCTCAGGCAGATGTTATCGCTGTGAGACTGAGAAGAGCAAGACTCAGAGCGGCATTGATTGCTGCTGCTTCTCAAAAAAGAGGATATGGTGAAGGCGAAGTTTTCCGTGGATACGATACTCGCGTCAGCGGCACAAAGTTATTTGGTTGTTTACCCACTTATTGAACTTAAGGTTTATCCTGAGATCACCGCGTCGGCCAGCAAGTCTATTATACAGTTTACTCCAGCTGGTCAAGCTGTGGAGACTGCGAAACTTCCTACGGGGGAACCTCCTAATACCTTCGAGCAATGGCTTCCATTGATGTTGCGATGGGCTTTCACTAAGGGGGACTTGATACATGTCTGTGAGTAATACTCACTGGGTATGCTGCGAGGTTTGTTTCGATATCAAATAAACACGGTTTTGGTAAAGCACAGCCGTTTGATCGACGTTATCGTCAGCGAATGATGTCATGCATGAGACTGTAGCAATCTTCTCTTGTTCATGATGAGGTCAAGATGGAAGATCATCAGGCATTCTCTATCTTTCTGGCTAAGAATCTAGAGCCTGAGCTTCTTGCAGAGGTGTGTTCGGATGTTTCCCCGATGTTGGGGGAACCGAATGCACCTGGGGCGAGAAATATGTCAAAAGTGGTGTGGGAAGGTACATGCAGGTTTACCAAAGTAAGACGGCCCATATGAAGATTGCAAGTTTGCTGAGCATTCACCGCCTACTACTCAGCAAAGGGATGCTAATATGAGTAAAAGAGTTATTAACCATCAGGGGCAGGGCCCGAGAGATAATATGGCAGCTAAACGATAGCCGGTTGTGGATGTATGCCCGATACTTAATAGTATTAAGTTAATACGGGTATCTTGTGTGAGGTTGGAAGTTTGTTTCTGTGAGTGTTCTCTTAACTAGGATATAATCCGATGTTAGTAGTTGATACTCGGTGTGTGTCGAATGGGAATCGGATTTCCCGTCATCAACAGAATATAATTTGAAAGTAATTTGTTGCGTTTGTTTGTTGTGTTGAATAAGTGTTGAATTATTTTGCATCAAAGTAGATGCTCTCCAAGTCTGCTGAGTGGGCTTCTCATCAAGCTAGGGCGGAAACGGAAGAGGGGAGAAAGAATCTCCTTGATTTCCTAGAGCTTTATATATCAGCAGAAACAAAAAAAAAGGTTATGAAACTGCGTATAAATAATATAAATCCATGGGAATGGAATACCCATTGTCTGGTTTGAAGTTGCGTTTGTGAGAGGTTTAGTGGAATCAATAAATTTGCAGTACGCAACGATATCGAAATACACATCGGGATTGAAGACACTCAACCAATTACATGGTTTCGGTGATATTTCGACATCGGATGAAAAGCTGGAAGCTCGGACGCTGCAATCGGCGTGTAAGATAAAACCTCAGACGAAAAAGAGGCAAGCTCCGTCGATACCGGAAAAATAGCGGGAAGTTTGTTCAAATTACCGGTTGGTGTGTTAAGAACGGTGGAACTTGAACAAACCAAGGATGCTATCCTAATAGGCATTTCATTAGCTCTACGACCTGGAGAGTTATTGGAAATTCGAGCAAGGGATATCAAAGTTATTGATGGTGCATCTAAAGGATCGATAGGTATGACTATAGAGATTGAGTTGGGTGTTACCAAAATGGGTTCCTCTGAGACTATAGTGCGTGATTGTGTACATTCTAGGGATCAGCGTATGCATAGAGGATTATGTTGTGTGGTGCACCGTATGGCAAAGATTGTTGTAAGTGTACCAGCATGCTCGAGAATATTTGATAAGATCTATTAGAAGTTGCCGACGAATGCTCGACAACTTGGTATGGAACTGTCGAAGCGTTTTGATTTCTCCAAGCAAGAAATTGACGATATGATGAACTTCATCAGATGAAGTTTACAGGTCATAGTTGTCGGCGTTCGAGTGCAACATATGCTGAGGACATTAACTTGATGTCGGAAACTTGATGAACTGGTTTGGGCGGTTTATTGGGAGGGCTTCTAGATTATCTCCATTTGAGTGGTTTCACAACACCCTAGTTTATTGACCTTCGTGGTTGACCTGGTGTTATAACTAGGATGTTGTATATAGGAGATAAAGTTTAGAAGCGCCACGGGTTTGATAAACCAGTGGCAACCACCCAAACCTCCATATTACTGAACACAATATAGGTGGCTACAGTAAATCCACAAATAAGGAGTTGAATGAAGGTCCATTTATGGGGCTAGTTCAAGGACGAATGTATTGAGATTTACTGTTAGATGGGAACGAGCTCAGAGACCTCCTCGTGGTGTTCCTGGAAACTCAACTATAATGTTTTAT